TAAATGCTAAAGTTTATTTAACTGAGTGTATTTTAATTAAATTACAACATTGATGCTGTATAAGGAACCGTATAAAACGGAAAAAAAGTTCACAATAACAGGTCACCGGAAGTGTATCAGCATGGGAACAGCACTAGCTCGGCATATACCCTATTACACAGCACCTGAATATGGTCCGCAAGGTAACTGAGGCAGTCACGATATGGCTGCTAGGTTCCTTGATTATTAAACCAGAAAGAGAGTATAGTTCCTAGCAGTGGTGTAAACTAACTAATTACAAAGACTTAAATGTAATTGAGTACTTTTTCTCAGGAATTGTAATTTACTAAGTAGCTTTGAAAATGTGTACTTTTACTCTCACTTGAGTACATTTTAGTGCAGTATCTGTACTTTTACTCTACTACTTTCCTTCAACCTGCAGTCACTACTTTATTTTTTTTCTTGTCTATGGGGATTAGAAAAATCAGTCCTGTGATTCCTGTCCAATCAAATCGCACATAGAAAGAAAATTGCATCATCATGAACTACCTCAAGACATGTGTGCTTTATAATTGCAGCAAACTGTTTGGAAGCATTAAAAGAGTCCAAGATGATTTCCAAAATCTTTACACGCATCAACCCAGAGACTGTTTAGATGTATGTCACTTATATGAGAAGATGATGCATGTTTACTGTGAGATGACCGAAATAGCCTTAAACAACTAGCAGGCAAAAGACATCAACATGATGTCAGATTGACGTTGTACCCTAACGTCATGGGGACGTTGCCATTTGTTTGGAAATGAAAATCAGGTTGACATCTGAACTCTATGTCAGACCAACGTCAATGTCCAACCTAAAACCAACCAAATATCAGCGTCTAATGATGTCACAGCTTGAAGTTGTGTGGACGTTACCACTATGACATCTATCAGATGTTGAATTTTGGTTGCCATACCTGATGAATAAATGTCCGTATTTGACGTGAGTATGACATTGGTTTAAGAAGTTGGCTCGACGTTGGATTTTAGTCACTTTCTAAAAACCTTAAATCGACTAAATATCAACGTCATTTGACGACATTATTGGACATCAATGTGACGTTGGTTTGAGATGCTGGCTAGACATTGAATTTTGGTCACCTGACATCACAACCTAAATCTAACCTTATATTAACGTCTTATGATGTTGTGTGCCTGCTGAGCAATAACTAAATGCACTACAGAATGTTAAGTTTACACACACATGCGCAAAAGTACATATAAACGCAACAGCTATTTACAGCATAATACCAACACAATCTCACGGCAATTCGTAACTTTTTGATTTAGTAGCTAATTTGTATGATTTTGTACAATCTAATTCGTACAATTTAGTAAGATTTTCTCATCACCAAATGACGGTTGGGTTTAGGGCTGGGGTTAGGTGTCACGCCTCCTTTTTAAAATCGTACAATTTCGTACGACTGAACTCATACAAATTAGCCACTAAACTGGCAAAACGTAAAATACTTACTTTTCTCATGAGATCAGGCTGGTATTACTCACTACTCACTACTTCAGAGTACTTTTTAAATGTCTACTTTTTACTCATATTCTGAGTAATATTTACAACAGATACTTTTACTCTACTTGCACTACATTTTTAGGCAAGTAATGGTACTTTTACTTGAGGATGATAATTCAGTACTCTTTTCACCACTTTTTCCTAGCCATATAGACATAGAAATTAGCAACTTTTCATCCTTTGGACATAATGTAATTGTGATGCCAAGTCAAGGTTTAAATAGGAAAATTATCAAAATTATTTTCTGAATCTTCAGTGAGATGCTAATGGTCTAATCAGATTCAATAATCTATGCTAAGCTAAGCTAAGCTAAAAAATGCTTCCACTGGAGCCAGAGATTTGCTGAATAGATTAAAAAATGGTAAAACTGGTTGTAAAATGGTTCTATTTTCAAAAGTGGGTTGTTTCTTGAAGACACATCTGTTTTTAAGCCTCTCTCTTCATAGCCACTATTCTGAGATGCTGGGGTAAAAAAAAAGTCACTCTCCACTAGTGCCAACACATCCAGAGGTTGTGAAGCTCTCATTCCTGCACACACACACACTTGTATGCTCCTCCTCCATGCCGGCTGTTCGTTCTTTGGGCTGGCACTCCACAAACTCCAGACCAGCAACGGAATGTCTCAACACTTGCAGGATCAAAAGCACTGGCCATCTCCCTCACGTCACCTGACCGGAATCCAATTAAACCTTTATGGGGGATAAGACTGAAGCAGTGTGTCTGTGTAACTATGCAAGGAGGTGCGGTGGTGGAGGGGTTGACTGAACAATCCTGCATCAGGATAAATGGTCAGAAGAGGGGGAGTTAGGGGCACACAAACATGCACACAAGAGACCTGATGCCTCACATTCACAGAGCCCCTGGGGCCAAAGTTTTATGACTGAGTCTAAATCTAATGAACATCAGGTGCAGTTATTTAAGCAACATGCCACAGTGCAGCTATAATAAAGCTTCAAATAAAAGGTCACTGCGCACTCACTTTATACAATCAAGATGTTTCACACTCTCAGATTTGATTATTAATCTGAAGAGTCTATCCGAGAGGCAGGATGCTCTGTTTCATTGATCCTAATGGATCAGCGCTGACAGCTTAAGTCTACAGTTGCAAAGTTCCATTACGCTGATAATTCAATAAACAGCCTTCAAAGTCGGAGCAAAACGTCAACGCGTACGGTAAAGGTGAGATCACTGAATCAAATGATCGACTCCAACGGGAGAGTGGTGACGTCACAGCGGCGGAAAGCCAGCCAGGCATCCCGGAGGATCCGCGCGCCTCCTCCACTGCCTGAGCGCACGAGCTCTGAGTGAGTGTTGTGGATGGTCACTGCGCGCGTGGCCGCGTGGAATCCTGCTCACGAGGGTTTCGGATGTGTAAGGAAATGTAGGGGCTACTACACCACGAGCCGGATTTATTACGACATTTGACTGATTCTCCATGCGAAGATATGCTCACATACTCTTTTTGCCAATACGTCCTGGAGATCATTTAGACGCAACTTTGGAGCGGCGGCTCTCGCCCGCTGGATCTGGTGAGCCTCTTTCATTATAGCATTACAACTTTTTTACCAAATGCAACTATTTTGTTTTTAGAGCAAAATACATACATTTAAATAAGTAGCTTAGATATTAGTCTCTACTGGCACAAAAGCTGTTACTGATTTACTAGTACTTTACCATGCGATGCATAACCTATAGTAATTGCTAACCTTCGGGCATTACGCATTTTAATAAATGGTCATGCAGTGGCAGTGGGCACACGCAACTCGATGTAAGAGCATTATAAAGTGAGTTGCACAGATTGAGGTGTAGAGCGCGCAGCCTCGTGGATCGCTCGCGCTCTGGCACAGCAGTGAGACAGCGCCATCATTCGCGAGCAACAGAGTGCATGTGCCGTGCTGGGGCCACGCTTTAAAAAGCTTTTCCGTCAGACAATACAACTTTTACTGGTATCCATTTGGTTTAGAACGTTGATTTGATTGTGGAAATTTAAAATGTAACCTTTGGAATCTCAGTAGGGAGTTCTAGCCTAACTATTTTAATCTATAAGGGGAATTCTGATAAGATTCACCTCACCAAAAAGCAAAGAATAATAACAATAAATCTCTTAATTGAGCAAACATTGCTTAATTTTCTAAAACACTTAAAGGGATAGTTCACACAAATAAAACTTTACTAATCATTTGCTCACTCTTAAGTGGTTACAAAACATTTATGAGTTTTTTTTTCTATGTCGTGGATATTTCGAAGAAAGTTGGAAACTGTTGAAAAATATCATGGAAGTCAAATGGTTTCCAACATTTTTCAAAATATCTTCTTTTCAGTTCAACAGAAGAAACACAAATAGCTTGATTTGAAATAAGTAGGGGATGAGAAACGAATGACAATTATTTTTTCTGAACTACCTCTTTAACTCTTTAAATGCCCCACCAAGAAAAAAAAAGTACTGTATTTCTTAACTTTTAATGTCACTAGTTAACACACTCAATGCATTTTTTTCAACGCATCCCATAATTTTTAAAATATCAACCTCTACCAAATGGTTGATATGTCGATTTATGGTAAAATACCAGATTTAATACAAATACTGTTAAAATTTTTATTTTTTTTAAATGATGTGTAAGACCAATTTATTAAAAAAACAACAAAAATGAAACATTTTTGAATAATAAATCATCTTTATTTTTTTGAAGTATGCCTTAAAATATTTCAGATTCTCATTTTTCTTTTTTCTTTTTTTTTTACAATAAAACCAAATGTTTTTGTAAATCAACAATGATGTGTAAACTATTATTTAAAACAGTAAACATTATTTAATTGACTTTAACAATCATTATTTAAAACAGTAAAAATATGGTCAACCATTTGGTAGAGCAGGCCGTTTTAATGAAGATCTGACATGTTATATTTCATGAATCTTCAAAGAACTGAAAGAATATTTTAGGAACCAAATTGTTATTTTTCTCATGACATCACTTTTTAAAACCCCATTTGACGAATCTTTATTTTTGTAAAAATGTGTATGGAATAAAAGCACCACTTTATAATCAAGTGCTCCATTCGTTTGTAAAAGCGGACACGTGCGCAACAATCCGAAAATATAATTTAGCAGAAATAAATGTTATTTTTTTACTGTCAACTTGGGACTGAGTTGCAATTACATAGTACCTAATAGGTAATGTGACGAGTAGGGTTTTTATCATATAACTCACAGCCGTGGAGATCATCTTTCTCCTTTGTTTTAAAAAAAAAAACAATGATGCAGCATATTTCTACATTAGAGGCACAGGTTTGGCACATAAAATAAAACATCAAAGGCTTCTCTCGTCCCACTGTGAGGGGAGAGCGACGGCTGTTTCATCTTCATGCCAATAGGAAGTAGATCCGTGCGCTGTGCGGAGAGATACAAACGGTGCTTTGTATGTGTTTGTGCGTTTGAGTGGAACGGAGAGTTCAGTGAGCAGAGAGCGCGGCTGAGAGTGTCGGTACCATGCAGAGATTTGGAACTTACAAACTTCATGAAAAGCCACCTAACAAAGGACGTTAATACTGGAATCGGTACGTACTATTTTAGAAGTCTTCACATTGCGCGAGGACTTTGTTGAAGTGTTCTGGAGTTGTGCTATTTTCAGAAATGCGTAAAACTTTCAGTCAGCTCGCGGTGTAAAGTTGCCGTTGGTCCTTCACTGCTGCCTGTATAGTGGAAATAGGGCAAGTTTGAAGTTGATCGTAGCATGGCAGAGCGTTGACATATTCTAAGTATATAGTTTGAGTTGAATTGTTTAAGAGAAGCGGTGCAAACTGGTCAGCTAATTGTTTTAAATGGGAACAGTTCGTACATCTGGCCAGCGCATGGGGTATCAGTGTGGCGACGTAAAATGAATAGGAATTGACGGACTGGGGGGATGGGGATACACTTTTAACAACGGAGCTGAAACCCTTCTTTTGTTACTTTGGTATTTTGTTTCCTTTGCAAAAGCTAAATTGCCTAACGTTAAAGAGAGGTCCCCTTGACAGCATACAAGTCTTATGTTTTAATGTGTTTACAGCAAAGAGGCTTTAACGTTATAGTGTCTCTGAAAAAGTTCGGACAGCTATTTCATTTCTGTACTAAACGTCAGTGATTGTGTTTTTACATGCTCGAGGGCACGAAAAGTCGTGTGGAAATTTTGAAGCGTGAAGTCATCTGCTGAATAAAAGGTCTTACAGAGAACCTAATAGTCACATTAATACGTTTCAACACTCATACAATGCTCTAAAATGTACGTCTATCCGCAAATAATTTAATACAGAAAAGAAAAGAAAAATGATAAGACAATGAAGACATTTGCGCTGAAAGATTTCTTTATTTGTTTAATATGATTAGTCATTCAAACGGCACTTTCCTATTGTGCAGCATATTAGAAACAAGACTACACAATGTTACACTGTTAAACCCAACAGTCAACTTTATCAGATGTGTAGTTAATTAAAAATTGACTGAAAGTAGTTCTACTCATTTGAAAAGAGTTTTGAACTCAGTGTTGAAGGTAATTAAATACTTCATTACTTTAACGTAAATAGAGCAAGTTGACAGTACTTATATAGATTCGTTTTTTTAAACTCAAATGGTTTGTAGAAATCGGTTTACTCAAATGGTTTGAGTTGGCTTAATTTATTGGGTTTTACAGTGCTCAGTTGGTTAGAGTTCTCTTCATTTATTGAGTTTTACTGTCCTCAAATTGCTTCTTTTACTCAAATGCATTAAGTTCACAGTAGTCATTTGGGTTAGTTTTTGAACTTAAATGGTTTGTAGCAATCAGTTTACTCAAATGGTTTAAATTACCTTAACATTTTGGGTTTTGCAGTGTAGAGTATTTCTGACTACTTTAATAAAGATGTTTTTTTCCTTACCACTAATGCATAGCCTATAATTTGAAAAAATAACAAGCTCTTCTGTTTGTCAATCGATCACTGAGTTCGGGTAGATCATAGAATTGATGAAAGAACGTATTTTGTATTAAAGGGCTAGTTTACCCCCCAAAATTATTTACTCACTATTTACTCACCCTGAGGAATTTCAAAACCGTTATGTGTTTATTTATTCTGCACAATAAACTGTTTATTCTACACAAATATATATTTTAAAGAAAGCTAAAACTCATGTAACATTTGGTGGTTGCAAGTTTTCAGCCTTCTTTAAAATATCTCCCTTTGTGTTTAACAAAAGAAAGATACTCAAACAGGTTTCGAACAAGTGTAGGGTGATTTTTAATTTTTGTGTGAACTATATCTTTAAAAAAAGTTTTCAATTTTCATACACATACCTGATTGTTTTCGTTCTTATGAACATATCATTGAACACATCTCTCTTTATGCACTTTGTGTTGCACATAGCTGAAGAAGATATATGGCTGGAGGCAGTGAGAATAATATATAATTTATTCAGGAAGCAGTGGAATGAGACTTTATATACACAAAAGGCACTTCCATTCTCACAACAATTCATCATCTGGCTTATCATCTGTCATGGTGTCTATGGTGAAGTTGGAAACAGAGACAAATAGTCAGGGCCAGTGGATGATGTTGATGCACTAATCATATTTGTTTTTGAGTAACGATGTGCCATAAATATTAAAAATGGTCTGTTTCTTATGTGTTGTCAAAACTGTATTTGATGCAGCCAATTTTTGTAGAGGTATTTAAATCTAACATTTTTTAGATTAAAGGCACAAATCATGTGAACTTATTCAAAAACTAAATCTGTTTTAATCTGGAGTTTTATAATAAAGTTTTTCTTTTTTTATCCTTCACAGTTTCAGAGAGGAGTGCGCTGCAAACATGCAGAACCACATGACTTCATTGCTGGTGGTTCTGCTGCTCCTGTGCGGCTGCACTGCGAACCAAAGCCAAGACACTGCGCCCATCCCTCTGTTTACCCAGTCTGTTTACAATGCTACCATTTATGAGAACTCTGCTGCTAAGACCTATGTGGAAAGTCCTGTCAAAATGGGAATCTACATCACAGATCCGACCTGGGAAATACGGTACAAAATTGTGTCAGGAGACAACGAGAACCTGTTCAAAGCTGAGGACTATCATTTGGGAGACTTTAGTTTTTTGAGAATAAGGACCAAAGGAGGTAGCAGTGCAATTCTTAACCGGGAGGTCAGAGACCACTATATTCTCACAGTCAAAGCCATGGAAAAGAATTCAAATGCTGAGGCTCGAACACGAGTCAGAATTCAGGTACTGGATACAAATGACCTTCGACCACTGTTCTCCCCAACTGCTTATAGCATATCTTTACCTGAAAACACAGCTATTCGCACAAGCGTAGCTAAGGTGATGGCGACAGATGCCGATATTGGTACAAATGGAGAGTACTACTACAGCTTCAGAGAATGGACAGACATGTTTTCTGTCCATCCCACAAGTGGCGTAGTTACTCTTACCGGAAAGCTGGACTACTCTGAGACAAAGCAGTACGAATTAGAGATTTTAGCTGTAGACCGAGGCATGAAGCTGTATGGTAGCAGTGGATTTAGCAGCATGGCAAAGTTAACGGTACGAGTGGACCAGGCCAATGACCATGCACCAGTCATCACTGCTGTAACCCTAGCAGCCTCAGAAACAGACAAGGACCCTACTTATGCTGTTGTAACTGTCGAAGACAATGACCAAGGTGCTAATGGTGAGATAGCATCTCTCAGTGTGGTTGCGGGCGACCCTCTTCAACAGTTTAAAGCCATGCGGACAAGTCCAGGAAGTAAGGAATATCAAATCAAAGCAGTTAAGCAGGTTGACTGGGATAGTCAACCCTTTGGATATAACCTAACACTGCAAGCCAAAGACAAAGGAAATCCACCCCAGTTTTCATCCGCAAAGGTCATCCATGTCATGTCTCCCCACTTTAAAGTAGGGCCCCCTAAATTCATTCAAGCTATTTACAGAGTCAATGTGAGTGAGTTCGCACCACTGCACACACCTGTTGTAATGGTAACAGCTGTGCCAAAGTATCCCCAACTTAAATACGCATTTAGACACAGATTGGATAAAAATCATTTTGCCATTAATCCAGATTCAGGCTTGATCACAACAGCTGCGCCCCTTCACGCAGACTCTGTGAACAAGTATGAATTAGAAGTTGTGACCAGTGACAAAAAGGCAGTCACAAAAGTAATCATTGATGTGATTGATGTGAACAACAATGGTCCAGAATTCAAGCAGACATCATATAAAGCTAGCCTTGATGAAAATATGCCAACAGGTACAAGTGTACTAACCGTAAAAGCCACTGATTTAGACAGTGGGGAGAATGGATATGTCACTTACAGCATTGCAAATGTGAATTCCCAGCCATTTGTCATTGACTACTTCTCTGGTGTCATTAGTAGTTCTGAGACTCTGGATTATGAATTGATGCCAAGGATTTATACCTTGAAAGTGCGGGCATCAGACTGGGGTTCCCCTTATCGCCGTGAGGTGGAAACTCAAGTTACCATCATGCTTAACAACTTGAATGACAACAAGCCACTTTTTGAGAACGTGGATTGTGATGCAACTGTGCCAAGAGACCATGGTGTGGGTGACCAGATCACAACAGTGTCTGCAATTGATGCTGATGAGTTGCAGTTGGTGAGGTACAGAATTAAAGCGGGCAATGACTTGAATGTTTTTGAAATGAATCCAAGCTCAGGTGTGCTATCTTTGAAGCAGACTTTGAGTGAGGGCGAGGCAGCAAAAGTGTCTTATCACAGCTTGCAGATCATAGCCAGTGATGGAGAACATGAAACTCAGCCCATGTTTTTGAACATTACTGTCGTTACGGCACACAAACCAGTACAAGTAAAATGTGTTGATACAGGAGTTGCCAGCATGCTGGCAGAAAAACTCCTGCAAGGAAGCAAGGTCCATACGCAAAGTGAACCTGAAGACCACTTTCAAGACTTCCACTCTGTGAATCGCGTTGCACCACAGTTTGCAGATACTTTTCCCAGTGTGATTGAGGTCAAAGAAGATCTACCTGTTGGGGCTAGGATTGTCCATCTTAGTGCATCAGATTCTGACAGTGGTTTTAATGGAAAACTGGTTTACGTTATCTCTGGAGGTGATGCTGAGAGTCGTTTTATTATTGACATGGACAGCGGATGGCTCAAAGTGTTTGCTCCTCTTGATCGAGAAACAACTGATCACTATACATTGAACATTACCGTGTATGACCTTGGAATACCCCAAAAGTCATCTTCACGTCTTCTTGATGTGAAGATACTGGATGCTAATGACAACAGTCCACAGTTTTTAAAGGAAACGTACTCTGTGGAAATCAGTGAGAGCTCCACTGTTGGAACAGAGGTCATTCAAGTTGAGGCAAAAGATAAAGATCTTGGGGACAATGGTGTGGTCAGATACTCAATATTGGCAGACACAGATCAATTTGCTATTGATACAGAAACTGGGATTGTTACAGTGAAGAAACCTCTAGATCGTGAAGTGCAACCCGTTTTTGTGCTCAAAATTGCAGCTCGCGACCAGGCCACTGCTGAGCCTCAACTTGTTTCAACAGTGTTGCTAAAAATCACACTAGAGGATGTAAACGACAACCCTCCAAAATTTATTCCGCCCAACTATCATGTGAGAGTACGTGAGGATCTACCTATCGGTACTGTTATAATGTGGCTGGAGGCTCATGACCCTGATGTTGGGCCATCTAGCCAGGTACGTTATAGCCTCATTGACAGTGGAGATGGTAAATTTGAAGTAGACAAATTGAGTGGTGCGGTACGGATCGTACAGAATCTGGATTACGAGAAAAAGCAGGTGTACAGTCTCACAGCAAAGGCAAAAGACAAAGGGAAACCAATATCTCTGTCCTCGAGTTGCCACATTGAGGTGGAGGTTGTGGACGTGAACGAGAATCTATACAGGCCATTGTTCCCATCATTTGTGGATAAGGGATTTATCAAAGAGGATGTGCCCATCGGAACGTCTGTGATGAAAATCACAGCACAGGATGAGGATAAAGGAAGAGATGGAGAGATCCGTTATTCCATTCGGGATGGATCAGGCCTAGGGATCTTTACTATTGACGAAGACACTGGTAAGTTCTCTTCTCTTCCCTTTAATCCATTCATGACTAGGGTGGGGTAGCGGGGGATGTTTTGTCTGGTCATGAATTATTCAAGAAACAAATATCCTATGCATGAAGGTGGCCGGTGATATGAATGGTGAAAAGGTTGAAGGACTTGCCATATTAGAGTGTCCAAAAGTGATTGGTAGTATTTTGTAGGGCATCAGTAGGATGCTTGCACAGGTTGGTGGTAGCAGTTGGATGTCTTTGAGAGAGCTGATGAAGAGCATCCTGATTCTTTTCATTTTTCCGCCGGAGGAGAGAGAATTGATGGCAGGAACAGATGGAGCAGCTGTCTCTCGGACCTGCTGTAGACATTCCACACTAGTTGCCGTGGTATTAAGAGGATTGCTCACCCTCCCCCTACTTCCGTGCACACATATTTTTCTATGTGATTCTTTTTTTCTCTGTTTATGTTTTTTTTTTTTAAATAAGCAAATCAAGCTATTTCTCTTTTGTAGATTATTATGTTATGTAGGCCACAGGGTACTTAATGTGTATTAATATGAGCTAGTGAGAGTCAGAGAATGGTGCATTTTAAAGCAAACACTTTCTGTGGCAAAAGTCAACATCTGGCCTCATTATCTTTATACAAAGAATGTATTAATACCTCTCTCAGCTGCCCTGACCACTCAAAGCACCTGTGCCAAAAGCTTAAAATAAGCAGCCTGGAATTTCAACAGTCTTTGACACTGTGTGACCATTGGCCACCCACTAAAACAAATGAATGCATAAAGTATACCCAAAGCTCACAAAAATGCTGCTTTTTATTGATTAATGAGCTTTTACACTGAACACATTACATTATTGTTAATGCATAAACATGTTTGTTGCATGCATGCAATCAAATTTAAGACACCCTAATGAAAACATAAATATTTTTAAAGTTAGTCATCATGGTGGGTGGAAACATGTTAATAGGTAATAGTACTGTTAGTTATGTCAGGTAGCCAGGCATATCTGCCTAAGAAAGTAAATTAGCAATATCTCCTCTAAATTGCTTTTGGGAAATCTTGCTTTCCTGGGTGGTAAATTTAGCATGACAGGATGTGCTGGCATAGGGTTGTCCCCCCAACAAGACCATCTGTTTGCTATTGTGCCTGCCCAGTCTTATGGAGATTGGGCTGTGCTACAGGTCCAATGGATAGAAGCTTGCTTGAAGTAGTTTCCAACTTGATTTGGGTATAAAAGGTAGTTAAATGGTGTCTTGAGAGGCAAATCAGGAAAAAAGGAGTTGATTGAGTTCGACACTGCCATAGTCAACAATTCTCAATGTCAATTTCTTTGCTGGGTGAAGTATTGGTTTAACAATCCAAGAGAGATTTGGCCTGGTTAAGAGAGCTGTCAGTTGCACATTAAAAGTTTAGACATTCATTCATCTCCATACATGTCAGCAAAGTTAAATAAATCAATAAAAACCATTCTGATGAGTTGTATAGCTGCATAATCTAATGTAGTAGTCTTGGGCGTTTAATCGAAAAGTAATCGAAATCAGCATTCAGAATTTTTTTAAAGATGATTTTTCAATTACTTTCCCTATGTGTCACATGACCCCAGTCTGTTAAAGGCTGCGGCTGGTTTCTACTTCTGTGACCACTTTGCAGCCACCTCTGATCTCTGGTCAAGTAGGACGATGGACTCATTTTTGAGCCTTACTTTGTACCACATTGACGATGATTGGAAGCTGTCAGTGAACTAAATGATTGTTCATTAATCGTAATCGAGTTAAAATGTTCAGTTAATTAAGATTTTGATTTTAGGCCAAATCGCCCAGCCCTATAGTTAAAACACTAATATACTATAACATGACATTGCGGTAACTGAATACTGTCAATTGAAACTCCACTAGAGACTAGGGTCATTAGGAGTCTCTGACCTTCTCCCCCACTCTCTGACCCCCAATTTGATCTATCTGCTCTGGCGGCTATGCCATTGTCTTTTCCAGTGTCCCATTGTTAAGAATCATAGCCATGGCTGGTAGCAAAGCAAATATGCCTAAGGTAACAGCAGCTCTCATGGGAATGGAAAGATTAGAAGAGGGATGGGTAGGAGGTGTTCAGGTTTGAGGTCACTACATGTGGGATAGATATCATGTTTCAAGCACGGAATCAATCTTTACACTTGAGACTGGAGAGTTGTAATAAAGAGTCATTTGTTGTTCTGCTCTAAATGGGTATTTTGAGAATGAGAGGTCACCGTTGCTGGAGGCCCTGGGCACTCCTTTAGTCATGTTTTATGAGAATGAACACCAAAAGAAAATGAAGATTGAGACACATCTGGGCTAGATTTGGTGCTTTGAACTATATTTTCTACATCTTTGTGTTATTTACCCATTTTATCCTATGCTTTAGCAAACCCCACAATTGGGCAAGGAATGTGCATATTAAATGTTTTCCATCTTTCATTTTTACCTCCCATTTTGTTTGCTTCAACATGTTTGACTCCAGTATGTTCGCCTTGTAGGAATGTCAGGCTTCAGTCATTTGCATCCTGTCTTCCCATGTATGTATTTTTGTTTGTCTGAGTGGAGTGAAAGCTACCCACAATAACCTCAGTTCTGGGAAATGTACTATGAATTATACTCTTACTGACACAATGAAACTTCATTGCAACTAGGGTTGGGCCATTTGGCCTAAAATCCAAATGTAAATGATTAAATGAACATTTTAACTCGATTACAATTAATGAAAGATTATTTTATTTATTTATTACATTTTTGTTGCCCTCATTGTTCACTGACAAGTTTTATGGCCCATTTCCACTGTGTGTTACGGTACAGGACGGGTCGCCTTTATCAGGCTTGCATTTCCACTGCCAAAAAAGTACCAATGGTGCACTTTAGGTGGGCATGGTGTATGACAAAGTTTCAGTCGACGTCATTCTAGCTTGAGAAAATGTCTACAGTAAAGCTGTATGGATCGTTCACATATCATATGAGAAGCACTTCTCACAAAATAGATTCTTTACACACATAAATACTTCTGTATAAATGTTTATTAATCTTTCTATGAACATAATTTGATTATAGCTGCAGATCAATGATCTGCAATTATACAAAATAAATAAATAAATGCAACAAATATGAACACATACAGACCCTCACAGGCTCCGATATGTTACCAATTACAGAACAACTAAACACAGCATACATTCAGTCCTTATTTGGGTTCAAAAACAACATGCAACATACAGCCACCTATCTGTATCTTTAATCTTCATCAGCACATGTAACCTCTTGTAAAGTAATTCTGTCATTTCGAGTTCAAAGTAGTCCAAAAGGTGATGATAATAGTTAAACATACCAGTGTTTGTTCATGTTTTAGGTTGCTGAAAGAATCATTTGCTCCTTAATTTTTTCGGGCTTCTGCTTTGTTTTTTCACACATCACTCTAGCATTTGTCCGTTTCTAAAAGTATCGTATGTCAGAAGCGCTTAAATAATCAAACGCACGATATCATCATCAGCTCAAAAAGTTCGTTATTTCAAATTTAGATGCGCGACGAGTTTTAGACTTAGAGTTTTAAACAACTATGGGGCACAGGGTAGATTCTGTTCCTCTCTTGGCTTTGTGGCTATTCAGCAAGACGATGACAAGATTTGTTTGATCTCGGGTTGACCATGCCTTGTTATTATATGTATATATTATTACGATGTAATGTCTTGGCTGTGTATTTAAAAATGGCACTTTCTTTGTTTTCATTCTCCTGTCTTGTGCACGAGAGAGTGACGCATCTCTGTAAACCAATAGCATTCAGTTGCGCGCCTAGCTCTGCCTTTTGGTACCCTTTTGTTGTGCTAGATAACCTTTGCAAAGGGTAACCAAAAGGTAGTATGGTACAGTTTGCTCTTTGGTACCTTTTGACAGTGGAAACACCCATGAAAAATGTACCAAACCTAATCATACAGTACCGTACCACTCAATGGAAACGGGCCATTATCTCTGGGGCTGCTTCCAATCATTGTCAATGTAGTGCAAAGTAAGGCTCAATAATGGGTCTATCGTCCAACTTAACCAGAGATCAGATATGGCTGTAAAGTAGCCACAGAAGAAGAAATGAGCCACAACCTTTAACAGAACGTAGTTAGGTGGCATGTAGGAAAATTAATTGTAAAAATCGTCTGGAAAAAATTTGATCGATTATAGGATCTGAATGTCAATTTTGATTACTTTTCGATTAATCTGCCATCCCTAACTGTAACACTATTAGCTTGCTTCAAAGTCGGTTGAATTATTACTTGAGTTTATCAATATCAATTTTTTTTGTCTCAGCAGTCAATTGCAAAGCTAGATCTGTGTGTAGAGTATGTCTGTAGAACCTCCTGCTGTGTTTACATATGTGATTTTCACAAACACGTCAAGAGCGGAGGGCTATGTTGGGCTCTGTTGTGACCTCAAACCAGACAAATTTTGCCGTGTGTTTGTCAAGATCATACACACACACATATATACAAGCACAGATTCTTGAGTCACTGAGGTATGCCGCTGAATTGATTGATGTCACCAGAGCTACGCAAAGAATTTAGTGCCTTTATTTAATAAACCTCTTGTGGTAAATGGGAATGCGAAAAAGTGGAGAGCAAAGTCACGGGTCAAGGATCTTAGACTGATATTTATAAAATGAAATGCTAAGAACAAAGTCTTATAAATAGATGGTTGCTGATGCCAATTTTTCTCTAGGGTTACTTTCAGTGTCCTTCAAAGTCTGCATGGATTCAGCTATCAATAGTTTTTAAAAAAGCTTTATTTTCCTCTGTTTTTTTAGTTATTTATTTTTTGTTTTCTTTAAATGCACAATAGGTAATGTTTCTGTTTCATCAATATGTTCAAAAACACAAAAAATTGTATTTTTATATATATTTTACTGACTTATTTACTAATATTATCCCCAATGTTAAGGAATTAAGGAATTTCATTTAGACATTAAACACTAGATTTCATGACATTTCTCTTGTCTCTCATAAGCAATCGC